TATATTTTACATATATTTTATATGTGTACATGTAAATATGAAGTATATATATTTTACAAAGTCATCTCAATACTTGTTATTATATTTGGGCTCCTGGTGGCAATAATTCTCTCCAAATCTATTAAGGTTTACTTCTAAAAAATACCAAAAGTTATACTGTAGATATTTTAACAATAATCTTAGCAAATACCAACTATGAATTCAAATACAAACTGCATGATCACTGACTTAATTAAATCTAACATCAGACAAATTTTAAGACAAATACTATGGTGATTTCTATTTATTTATTTTTTTAGAGACAGGGTCTCACTATGATGCCCAGGCTGGTCTGGGCTCAAGCAATTCTCCTGCATCAGCTTCCTGAGTAGCTGGGACTACAGGTGAGTGCCACCACACATGGCCAAGACAAATACTATGGTGATTTTAAAACACAAATTCTTTGTCACTCCTCTCATCAAAAGCTGGGGTGTATGTCACCTCTCATGGAATCTGGGTAGGCCTATCACTTTGATGAACACAATATTAGCAAAATTAATGTTGCAGGATGGCATCATAAAACACTATGCAGCCTCTGCCTTGACTGCTGGAACATTCTGTCTGGAAGCCCTAGGTACCATGTAAAAAGTCCAGCCACCCTGAAACCACCATGCTGGACAGGCTAAGTACAGGTGCACCCCAACTGACAGTCCCAGTTAAAGCCAGCCACACCAGAGAATACTGACCCAGAATAATGAACACCAAGATATAGTTTAATAAAATTACTGGACGTGTAAGAAAAAATCTTTTGGCCATCTAAACAAAAAGAGAAAATGATTTTTAAAGAAAATAAAATTTAATTATCATCAGACTTTTCAAAAGCAACATTCTATGCCAGAAAAAAAATAGAGGGGTGTGGGGAAACAAAAAAAAAAGAAAAAAAGAAAAAAAAATAGAGCAACATATCAAAGATTAATCAAGGAAAGAAAATATGAGCAAGGATATTTTTATCCAGTAAAAGTGAATTTTACCTATAAAGAATATAGACAAACTTGGCAACAGGTAAGAACTCTGGAATTATTGTTCCAGTGAGTCCTTACTATGCAATCTACTTGAGAACAAGCTTCATATAACCGAAATGACTAGAGAAACATAAACATAAGGATGGTAGTTGAGTGCTAAATAAAAACTTTTTCATAGAACTAAGACTAAAATGAGGGTTAAAAGGGAGAGAGTACATTATATAATACCTATGTACTCAGACAATATATAGTACAATTATAAAAAAATAGGAAGGGGAGAATAGAGAGAACATCTGCAAAACATACACCTGATATGTGTTTTCCATAATAATATTGTGTGGTGGTGGTAAGAGTATTGTTATTCTGAGACTGTTGTTATGTAGGATAAAGCAAATGAGTAAAACCTTAAAAACTAAGATTCTGGGTGTGGAAGAAAGAATATACAGATGTAATATAGAAAAGTTGAAGAAAAAACCCTGGTCCTAAATCTGAGTTCCAGAACCTGAAGTATCAATATGAATTTATGTGATATTTTATCTTTAAATCGTTTTGTATGTGTGATATATAGATATCCCAGCTGCATCTGCTGAAAAGGCCTAGACGTCATGGTCACCCAAATAGCAAGAAGCATCCCTAGCAACCAGATCCATTTCCCACTGTAAGAAACCAGGGCTTCTTAAAGAAATGTTGCGGGATAGGGGGCAAGGGGCAAGAAACGTACAAAATGAACAGGCAACGTCTTGGCACACTGGCAAGTATCCGAGACTACTAGAGTCGTTACAAAAGACATGAAAATCAATCCCAAGAGATTCCCACCGGCCAAAGATGGACAATATGACAATATGAGTTTGAATAAGGATAATAATTGCAATGGACTGAAACTCATCCTGTATGTTTAAATCTCTGAGTTTATAATCATATTAAAAAAATTATTTGGTCACCACGAGAGAATGGCAGAACACCAATTCACTATCTTCGAAACTGAAAAACAAAGGGAAAGAATCGCATTTCCTTCCTTAACCTTCCTTTCCTGTAAGAAATGGACCTATGGGGAAACAAACGCCAGATAAACGAAAATATCTCTTCATAAAAGCATCTAAACTAATAAATAAAAAAGAAATAATGAAATGAGAATTCACATTTTTACAATCTCAATTAATTAATGAATCTATATATAACTGCTATCATCACCAAAGAGACAACCAGATATTATGTGCCTCCTGTTGAAAAATACAAAACCACCTATATTCTTGCCAAAGGGACTGACCCGACAGAACTTTTGGAACCTGCGGCTAATTTGCAGAAAACACAGAACATGTTATTCTGCAGCGAATGCCATCTAGGCTGTAAGAGACTACACAGGTCAGATTGCCTGGGTTCCTCAACAGACAAATGGTAAAGAAAGAAAAGGAATAAAGGGGGATATTGTAGATTTTGAAGTCTTGACCAAATTTTAAAAATTGGCGACTGAACTGCACTGTTAGGAATTCAAATTTAGGTGATAAAACTATAAAAAGAAACACAAGGAGTGAGAACTGTGTAACTCAGGACAGCGGTTACTTGTGAAGGAAGAAGAGTGTGACTGGGGTGAGATACATGGAGAGGGCTTCTAGGACAGTTGGCAAATTTTTATTTTTCAACCTGGGTGGTGATTACACAGATATTTACCTGATAATAATTCAGTAAATCATACATTTGTTTTGCTGTTTTCTGTATTCATGTTTTATTAAAGCAAGTAAGAAATAGGAGGATAAAAAAATGGCCAGAGAGATTTGGAAATAGCAGAACTTCTAAAAATTAAAAAAAAGTGAAATTAAAACTAAGAAAATTCTGGAGATCTGTACAGAATGGTGACTATAATTGATAATAATGTATAATATAATTTAAAATTGCTAAGAGTAGATTTTAAACATTCTAATCACAAAAATATATGTATGTAAAGTGATAGATGTTAATTAGCTTGATCATTCTACAATGTATACGTATGTCAAAAATCACATTGTATACCATAAATATAAACAATTTGCCATTTGTCAACAAAAAAGAATAACTGAGAACAACCAGAATGAAAGATCCACAAAGGGAGGATCTTTGTTTTTCTTCTTCACTGATATATCCCAACCATCAAGAACGGTGCCCAGGACATGGTAGGAGTTTAATAAATATTGATCAAACGAAGACAAAAGCTGAGTCATTTTATACAATTAGATTGCAAAGTTTGATGACAGCAAGCGTTGATAAGCATATGCAGCAATTAAAACTCTTCTAACTCTGCTGATGGAAATGCAAGCTGTCATCGCCAAAGCGATGATCACTTTGGAAAAAAAGTAAGACACTGTCTTGTAATAGTTTAATGTGCTTATACTCTGTGACTCAAATTTTACATCTAGACACCTATTTTTCAAACTGAAAATCATATAGTGTTTTTTTTTTTTTTAAGACAGGGTCTCACTCTGTTGCCTAGACTGTGGCATGATCATAGATAACTCATAAGCAAACAAACCATGTGACTAAGGATCAGCAGAAAGAAACAGAGAAGTAGTACCCCAAGGACTTCAGATAATAACACAAACTATAAGAACATGTTGAAAATTAATAAAATTTAAAAATAAGAACATGACACCAGTGTAAAATCACACAGATTTGAAACAGATAAAATGTATCTGAAGAGAATTAGTAAACTAAAATATAGATCCAAGGAAATCACTCAGAATGGAGCCCAAAGAGAAAGACAGAAAATAAGAAAGGTTGAGAGACAAATAGGAAACAATGTCAAGTTCTAACAAATTTTCAATAGGAATTACAGAGAAAAAAACCCAGAGATCATGCAGAGAGACAATATTTGGAGAAATACTGTCTGAAAATATTCCACAATTGGAATATATGAAAAATTATACTATTTCTTGTTATGTATTGAGGAACTGAATTTCAGAAATGAAGTATGAAAATTTTATAAACTCACATGATTAAATCTTCTTGTGAAGGCAACTGCATTTGGTGCAGAACTATACTTTTCTTTTTTATTCCATCCACAACTTGAAAGCTCCTAGAAAATTAAGGTGAAAATTAAACATAAATTCAAGAAATAGCCCTGTTTTCTTGTCATATTACAGGTTTTGGAACATTAAAGACACTTGGTGTCCTTTCTAGAAACACTTTATTTAATAGAAACATATCTAATATGATACCTATTCAATCAAATCACAAAAGCAAATTTGATTAGAATATAAGAGATTGGGCCGGGCGTGGTGGGTCATGCCGGTAATCCTAGCACTCTGGGAGGCTGAGGCAGGAGGATCGCTTCAGCTCAGGAGTTCGAGACCAGCCTAATAAGCAAGAGCGAGACCCCTGTCTCTACTATAAATAGAAAGAAATTAGCCAAACAACTAAAAATAGAAAAAATTAGCCAGGCACAGTGGCATGTGCCTGTAGTCCCAGCTACCCTGGAGGCTGAGGCAGGGGGATCGCTTGAGCCCAGGAGTTTGAGGTTGCTGTGAGCTGGGCCGACGTCACGGCACTGTAGCCCAGGCAAGAAAGTGAGACTCTGTCTCAAAAAAGAAAAAAAAAAAAGGCGGAAAGCTTTAAAGGAATGTGGTATAGCCCGTAGCATTCAGCCTAATATGGCTATTTAGAAAGAAGTCTCAGCCACAGATGAAGAGCTCACTACTATTCCTATATTTTTAATCCACAAAGTAAGCTACAAAACTATGTAATTCCAATGTAATACGATAAATCAAAAATGCCCCTTCTGGCCAGGCGCAGTGGCTCACGCCTGTAATCCTAGC